TTTGGACCAAGTTGGTTTCATGGCAAGTCCTATCACATCTTCAAGGAAAAGAAAATTTCAATAAAGTTTAACTCTCCAGAAAATAGAAAAGATGAAGTTTCCCAATTTATTTTAAGAAGCTAGCATATATCTGATATCAATATCTACCAAAGATAACACGTATAAAACTTCAGACCAAATTTGAATAAAAACTTTAAATCTGAAATCAAATATTATTAAAACAAAACTAAAAGTACAGTAAAAGAGTAAAAACTTATTCGAGGAATGCAAGAGTGCTTTTATATTTAGGAAATGTATTAAAATAGCACATTTATTTTGAATGCTGAAGATGAAAACCAAATTATTTTCTCAGTAGAATCTGAAAAGACATGTCTCTGAATACTTGTGTTCAAAGGATATAGAGGATATGAATAATAATTAATGGGATTGACTTAATAAATATATTTTGAACCCTATATCCCACAGAGAATAAACTTTCCTTTCAAATACCCATGAAATATTTATTAGGTAGCAAAGAATGCCTCCATATATATCCCAAGGCATAACTTTTCCAGTCCACATTCTCAGCAATAAATAACAGGAAATGAATAGTGAAAGTACACTAAAGCTTCAGCTACCAGGGAAAAAAATATAGATTTTTATATTATCTTGTCATGAGGAAGACTGAAAGAAAGTGACTGTCTAGGACAGAGGTTAGCAAACTATGGCCTGCAGCCCGGTTTTCTAAATAAAATTGTGTTGTCATTTAGTTCATGTTCCGTCAATGGCTGCTTCTGTGCTACAAGAGCAGAGTTGAGTAGTGGCCACAGAGACCATATGGCCCACAGAGCCTAAAATATTTACCATCTGGCCGTGTACAGAAAAAGTATGCTGACTCCTGATCTAAGAAAACATTTGCACCCCAATAGAAAATGGGCAAAGGATACGATGCCAGGGTCAGCTTCATGGGCATGGGACCTGCGTGGTCGCCCAGGGACCCGCACTTAGAAAGGTCCTGCCCTTAGTTTAATGCTCTGCTGTCGCCATCTTGAAATTCTTAATAATTTTTGAACAAGAGGCCCTGTGTTTTCGTTTTGCACCGGATCCTACGCATTATGTGGCCGGTCCTAACTGATCCACCGTGTTTTAAAACAAAGAAAGACAAATAAATTGTAAATATGCAAAAAATCTGTGGCCTATTATTAAATACATTCAAATAAAAGCTATAATGAAAACTCTTCTTCATTTATAAAACTTACAGATATTTGAGAAAGAGCTAATCCTGAGTGTGGGTAAGAAAACCAGCACTTCGTACTTTGCTTCTGGGAGTTTAATCATCATGACAGTGGGGAGTGAGTTAAAGTGGCCACCGTTCTCAGGGTAGAAAAAAACTTATGCTCACTATACTCGAGTGTAGAGGAAATAACTTGAAGCTGCTTTGCTTATCTTCAAAAGACCCTCCTGCTGGGTGCAGGTGTAGTGAGGAGAGGAGGCACCTTTCTTCCAAATGGGAAATCCTAGCCCAGTGCAAGAATTTAAACACTCAGTAAATTTCAATCTTTTCAGTCTTGCCCTGCCCCCACTTCTCTCACTCCTATGGCTCTGTGTTTGAGGGGGGCTTATTGTGTCCTTGTGGCCTGCACGTGAAGGGGGCCTCTGAGTCTTCTGGCAGCCACAGTACCATCCCTTGTCTTGTCATGGTCACCTGGTGGTCATCCACCGATCGCATTGGTGGCTTTGACTGGTGGCCCTCCTTTACCACATCTTGGTGTGTGTTTCAATTATGGGAAATACCTTTTGGACAGCTAACCAGTTTTCTGTTCTCGTAACAACAGCAACAACAACAGTTTTGTGTTGACTTTGCACCAAAAGTACCAATACTTGATGTGAGAAAATGTCTTTAGGCTTTTCCTGGTGCGTGAGTGCGCGGGCGCGCGTTAGAAAAGGCAAACTGGTGGAGGTGAAAGGAGTACATGTTTTGCTCTAATATCTTTTTGATCCTTGACAAGAAAAATACAGTTTACATCTTAACACAGTGTATGTGCACTACTTACACATAGTTGACTAAATGTTTCACGTAGCATGACTTTCTGCTATGGTATGCTATATGTCTGATGTTTCTATTCTATTTCATTTTTATTAACTGTTGGCAACATCCCACCAAACTGATTTCCCAAATCACTAATAGGTTGCATTCCACAGCTTGAAAGTCATTGTTGTCGTAGCCATCAGTGAGATGGACTAAAGGGGAAATTCCTCACGCATCAGTACGGCGGGGCTGGGGTCTCCAGATGCAGACAGGAGCAGGGTGGGTAGCCCATCTACTCAAAGTACAGTGCTCAGTGGCTTGCTTTGGGTCTGCACTGGTATCTGACGAAACTGGAGTGGAGGCAAGCGTCGAGGTCAAGCTTTTTGAGCAGGAGGGAGGCTTGGCCATGACCCCAGTCAATCATAGGAGGACAAGGGCTGAAGGTCTGGGCTGGCTTTCGGGCTCCAGCCAGTTAGGGTGCAGGGGAGGCTAGGAGGAAGGAGAGAAGGGCCAAGGAAGAAGAGGGGGAGTGGGATGGAGGTGAGGAGGGGGGATACAGATGAACATGGGGCCAGAACTAATTGCTGGTCCTGCTTAGTTGCGCCTGAGGCTGCCATACCTTCCCAGGATTAGCTGGGGACCTGGGTGGGTCACTAAGGACATGAATGACTTCAGCCGGGTGGGGCTAAGGAAAAGCAGGACCTGACAGTTTTATCATTTCCATGCTTACCGCGACTCTGCTCTTCCAGAATTAAAAGACTCCTGGGTGATGGCTCCAACTGCAAGCTCTTTTGTCCCCTTTCGTTTTCCCCTAACCCATGTGCAAAGGGTGAGGAGGGACAATTCTAACTCAATTTGGCCCACTTGATTCTTTCTGACTGGTTGTATCTGTGGTTAGTGGAAAGAGCATGTGTTTTCTAAGGAACTTAACCACAGGGAGGTTTGGAAACTCACATAAACACAAAAGAATGTGTTTCAGAAACGAATCAAAATGAGACTCAGGGTTCTTACTTTGCTCTTACTCTTTGCATATCAAACCCTTGGAAATAACTGAGCAATCATCCGAGGGCCGCGCGAGGTTCCACGCAAAACCCCTCCCTGGGGACACGGTGAATGCACTGTCACAAAAGGTATTGACTTCTTATCATGTTCCAGATGCTGGAGAGGGCGTAGAAAAACAAAACTAGCTGAGGAACTCTGGAGCTGCTCCAGCTGTCACCTTCTCATGGGACTGGTGGCTTTGCCTCCTGATGGTCTGGGGAGCCCTTCTCAAAGCCGAGTCGGGAGGTGGTGTGAAGAGGGGTTGACTCCGATTTTGAGTGGACCCGGGTGTATTGAGTGAATCTTTAAGCATAGAACTCTGGAGGGCTGTAATGAAGCAGAATTCCTGGGAGGCTACTTGAATACCAAATTTGTCTGAGATTTATACTTGTGGAACCAAGGCATGAAATACCAAGAAGAGCCTGAATCCTGCACGCCATCTTGATACCCAGTTGGCCCATGGAAATCTTCAGGGGCTAGAACTGCATTTGAGTTAGGATTTAATTGAGTCAAATATCTGGGACATTTCACGTCCACTGACTTCTAAAACATGGATATTTCAACTCTTTGACTATAGTTAGTCAGCAATTGTGTGTTAAAAGCAATTTTAAAAACAAAACAAGACAAAACAACCCACAGCAGAGTTCAATGGAATCTTTCCCAGTAATACTTATATTTGGACTAGGAAGGAGTTTTTATTTCCACCCTGGGGCTTTGGTAACAATGGCTGGGTGAGCCATTACTAAGGAGAACATTGGGGCTCCATAGCTGGGATTTTAAGATCAGTAATTCTTAAACAGGTTGGCATGATACATGAGATATTTTACACATTATAAGGTGGAGAGAAGCTGCCCCTTCCCCACCCAACACCCTACTTCTCCCGGCTATGACCAGGAGTTCACTTAGGTCCTCAGGGTTGAAAAGAAGCCAAGGTCTGAACATGGACACACCATCCTGGGTTGATTATTCTGGGAGTAGCTACTAGATCCGATCCCAAACCAGAAAATCAGTTTACAAGGCAAAGTGTGGGTAAGACACGCACGTTTTAACAGAAAGTCCAAACAAAATTAAAGACCCAGCATATCTATCCCCATGAGAGAAGGGCAGGAGTCTGGTTCAAGTCTTAGTGGGTAGTTTCCAGATCCCCCATGGATGAAGTAGTTAGTAGGAGTCCATCTGTGGTCAATGGGTGGTGGTGAGGCAGGGGAGAGGACCATGGCACAAGTCAGGCAAAACCCTTGCTCCTGGGGACATCCAACATGCTCACCTCCATGCTAAAACCAGAAACAGCTGCCATGGGACTCTTTTCTTCTCTAAGAGGTGATCTGATTTGGGGGTAGGACAGAACGTGCATGTGTAGGTTAAGAAGCTCAGTCATGAGGACTAAAGGATTCCAAGGTGCAGGTCTACATAACCCCATATTCCTCTGCCACTTTCATAGCTGAGGCCCCTTGGGGTCCCATGGTAACCCAAGAGAAGACGAAACCAGTTTTGTTCCCAGAATCTTAGAAGGTTATGTTTACCCTCAGTGCTTGAGGGAATAAGCTAAGTCCATCTCAAGCATGTCACAAAGAGGGTATATTTTGGTCCAGGCTTATATAATTGTGTAAAGAATGGTCATGTGTAAATATGAAACAACAAACCTCAACAGTAACAGGACAATTATCAGTAGAGCTGGGATGGGAGAAGCAAACCTGTCAGTATCTCCTTCGCTCTCATTTTATCTTAAGGGCCTCATTTTATTTTCTTCCTGAGAAAAGAGAGCACCTGTCAGTCGGCAAGAAAGTGTTCCAGATAGCTTTAGACTTTTCTTAACACTCCAGGATATTTCTTGGATCTTTCCCTATATCTAGCATCAAGAAATCAGATGAATACTAATATTGTCTGAATTTTACATGTCAGTCAGACAGAAGAATAGTGAAAATGAAATGTTTTAAGCCCAAAGAAAATGTAAATTAACATTGGGTGACCCTTTTTAATAAGTAAAGGAACGCAAATGATTTGCGGCCAATCCTTGAAAACAAAGAAATAAACTCAAAAAGGATTTACTCGAAACCCCTGCTCCTTTAGCAGACAGCCAAAAACAGACCCCCAGTTCTAGTTCAAGTCCCTGTTTTACCTATACTTTGCCTCCCCTCCCAGTTTAATTCCCACACTACAGGACTTCTCTACCAATGAGAAAATCAACCATGGAATAGAGGAGCTGTGGGGATTCCTCCCTAATCATAGGTGTCTTACCCTACCCCTCAGGACCCAAAATTTCAGATGGTACTTGTTTCGGTGATATGGGCCAAAACACAGAATTGTATTTCAGAAGTGGGCACAGACAATCCGTGTTCAAGGAAGTCTCTTGCTTCCAGTGGAAAGGAGTTGTAGAATTATAACTGGAGTAGCAGTCACACAGTGCCTCGTCTGAAGCACCTATACAGCATTGGGCCAGATCTGCCAGACCCTCACTAGGATCGCCAGCCAGAGCATCTACCCCATAGCTGAAGAAGAGGAGCCAGGACCAGTCTTTGAGATTTGAAATATACAACGGAAGTTTGTCCAGGAGGATGGCTGGGATTCTAATAAAAGGCTTCCCAAAGCTTTAAAAGCGCAGGGCTGGGATATGCTGTTCTGGTGAGCTTTGGGGGAGACCCCCCAGCTCGCATTAAGCCCAGACATCTACTGTTGATGATTAGGTAGGCCCGTTCACCAAGGAGCTGTGCTCTAGAATCCTTGACTCTTCTGGGAAGGTTCCTCGGGTTCACATAGGATCACAGGAATTGGCTGGAGCCGTCTGAGCCTCAGGCCCAGGCTGTTCATCCAGACGAGACCGGAAGAGGTGCTGTCCAGCTGGCAAAAGATCAGGAGACATCCATGAGCAATAGAGACGTCTCCCCACGCTCTTCTTTCCTTCCATCCAACAAACAGGTAGATCCTGGAGAGGCAAATATCCTTAAGACCCTCACAAGGGGAGCTGGAAAAAAAAGTGATTGCAATCCAGTATCAGAGGATGGTGACTGAGAGATGTACACGGTGCCCTGAGAGCCTGGGGCAGGAGCAACGAACCCCATCTGTGTTGGTCAAAGGCAACAGGCAGAGACCAAGTTGAGTCTTACAGAATGAGTAGGAGTTTGCCAGTGTGGACATTGTGTGTCCCAAGCAGATGAAATGTATAAAGGCTGAGAAACTGGAATAGAAAAGTTTATTGGAAAAGGTTTATTTTTTATAAAAGAGCCCCTGCCCCCTTCTCTCCCTGATCCGTTTCCCCAACTCCCCAACTCCTCAGCCCTCTATCCTGTGGGCTTTATGCTGCTGCCCCCTGAAACTGCTTGCTCTTCCCCAAACAATTGTTTAAAAAAGCATTTCTATATTTATCAGAAGAGCTGAATGTTTTTTCAAATGCTGACTTACCATCCTTCAGGGGATTGCCTGTTCTGAACCTTTGTCTATTTTTCTATAGTTTGCCTTATTAATATTTACTTGTACCACCTATTTACATATCCCGGACAGTAATCTTTTGCCTTTTTTATTTGTTGCAGACATCTTCTCTCACTCCTTTTCTTTTTTTTTTTTTTTTTAATTTTTGTTTTATTTGGCTGTGTCGAGTCTTAGTTGCGGCATGCAGGATCTTTCATTGTGGCTGCGCGGGCTTCTCTCTAGTGGCAGTGCACTAGAGAGGCTCAGTTGCCCCGCGGCATGTGGGATGTTAGTTCCCCCATGAGGGATCGAACCCGCGTCCCCTGTACTGGAAGGCGGATTCTTAACCACTGGGCCACCAGGGAAGTCCCCCTCCCTCTCTTCTTGTCTTTGTTTATGGTATCTTTTGTCACCCAGAATTTTAGACCCTTCAGATAGTCAAAATTATTCTTTTCTTAAAAAGCAATTCCTACTTTTTGTATCTGGTTGAAGAAACCCTTCACTAACAGGATGACATAAAAATCTCCTTCTATAATTCACTCAATGGATTGAAAGTTGTGTTTTTCCCATTAGGTTTTAATACATCCAGGGTGACATTTGGTATGAGATAGTGATCTGATTGGTTGTTTCCAACTACAAATCCCTTGTCACAGCACCACTTATGGAAGGGTTCATTCTCTCCCCCCAGTTTGAAGCACCACTTTCACTGTATAGAGAGACCTCACATACATCAAGGTGTGGGCTCTCCATTTCACTCCATTCCTTCTGCTGTTCTGTATCATACACATAGGGCCACTATATGTGATAGGGCAAACTTTCCAACTTTGTTCTTTTTCATTATTGCCTTGATGACTTTTAGAACTGTAGTCTTCATTTCATTTTTGGAGTCCGTTTTTGAGTTTAACAAAACTTCCTTTCAGAATTTTTCCTAGAATTGAAGTTATAGATTAACTTGAGGAACATGAGATATCCTTATGATATGGAATCTTTCAGCACATGACCATAACATATTGTATCACTTCTGCTCAGGTCAGACAGACATATCATTTCTGGATATGGGGCAGAAGAAAATAAATTTTCCTCATAGAGATGGAATACACTCAACCAGAATGAGAATTCCTAAAGATATTGCATCCTGAAACGGAAGGCCTAAAGTCTACTTTGCCCAAATTCATCTTAAATATCTATAAAATAGTCTGAAACAAAGACAAAATAATAATAACTCTCTAGAAGTTAAAATTAAGATAAATGAGTGCATAAAAAATAAAAGTAATCTGAAAACAGTGGAAAATGTTTGCAGTACAAAATGTCAGAGTCAAAGGAGCAAACTCTAACCTCATGAATTATTAGAATGACAGGCAGAAATGCAAGGCTCAGCTGAAACAGATCCTTAAGTAAAAGGAAAGAACATCAAAGCTACAGAAGAGTGGGTTAGAATAGAAAAACCTACTGTGAAGTCAATGCAACAGATTGAAGTATGAGCACTAGGAAGAATACTTAGAAGCTGAACTGAAGCAGTAGTAAGTCGTATCAGTGAAACAGAAGTCAACCTTGGGAAATAAAGAAGCCCCCTTCCAAATCTAAAATGCTATGATCCCATCTGTCTTAGAGAAAGTTTCCCTCTTTTTTCAGTAAAGTTTCCCCCTTTTTATTAAAAAAAGGCTGTATCATTTTTCTTCTTTTATTTATTAGTATGACTAGTTACATTAGATATCCTTAAATGTTGAACTTTCAATACATTCCTGAAATAAATACCAATTAATTGATTAGTATTCTTTTGGATTCCTGCTGGATTCATTTTGCTAATATTTTATTTACAGATTTTTGAATCTATATTTACCAATGAATTTGGACTCTTCTTTTTTGAGGAGGGGGATTTGTTTATCTTTGTCTATTTGGGCATCTAGTTTGTGCTAATTTCATTTAAATGAATTGGAATCATTTTTCTTCTGTAATCAAAGCAATCATTTAAAGAGCACAAAAATAACTGTTTCTTAAAGATTTGAAACTAAACTGTGAATCTGGTTGGGCCCAGGGTTTTTTGTTTTGTTTTGTTTTGTTTTTAGCGTATGAGTGTGTGGAATGGGGTGGGAAGGAGTGAAGGAAGTTCTTTACCAAAATTTCTCAGAATTCTAACATAAAGCATCCTTTTAAATAATTTCCAAAGTTATGGAAATTTCAGATAATAAGCCCAGTTAGAGGCTAGGTCAAAAGTAAAGTGATAGACTGTATGACACAAGGTAAAGACAAATGAACACCTGATTAAGTCACATCTGTTTTATTTTCCTAGATCAGGAAGTGTGCTGCACCACTGGAATGAAATCTATTACTTCGTGGAACAGTTGGCTCATAAATTCATCAGGTGAGAAACATAATGAGTAGTTCTCTGTCATGAGTACAACCAGCATGTTTGCTATTCTACTAATGACTGACCACTTTGGGGATGCTTTTTGACGAAGGTAGACTCTCAGATCTTATAACGGAGATTTGACTTTGTTTTCATCTTTGCCACATATTAGAATAACTTTTGGCTTCGTGTTTTCAAGAGGACCCTGATTAGGTTATAAGACCAACATTTTAACTTTCTCCCTCTCTTGTCAAATAATATCCTTCTAGAAGGATCGTTAACATTTTCTTTCACGGTGCATCATGCTGGGGCAATTGGCTCATTCTGGCTGGACCCGTGTGTAGAGGCTGCAGGGTGTAAGGTAACCAACTCATCCCAGTTTGCCCAGGACTTTCCTGGTTTTAGCACTGAAAGTTTCACATCTTGGGAACTCTCCTCAGTCCTGGGCAAACCGCCGTGGTTGGCCAGCCTGGCTATATGCCTTATCAGGTAGAATCCTCTGAGCATTCTTGACACCACTTTCCAAGGAAGGACAATGCAGTTTTGAACATTGTCACTATACACATTGCAGGGGCCTTGGAGGTCCTACTTTCCAATAAGTATAGACACCCACTAGTAAAAGAAATGAGGTCATTTCACCCTCCTTGTGTGCAACCTCCAAAGGACAACACAATGGTGATAGCATTAACGGATCTGCTCGAAGCCAGTTGTCAAGGTCTTTGGTGAAATTGTTCTGATCATTGTAAATTTGAAAGCAGCTCCAACCCTGCTTGATGGTCTCTGTAGAGTCTTCCAGCTGATGTGAGTAACCATATACTTCCTCTTTGAATATGTTTTTTTTTTTAATCTCAGAAGACAAGTTGTCCTCTGAGACCAGGGTCATGACAGATGTGTTCCCTGCAAATTCACTCAATGGTCTCAACATGTACCCACCACTTGATTGGAGGGAGGGGGTTAAGAGGTGTCCTCTCTGTTATGCCATAAATTGGAAACTACAGCAGGAAGCATCTACACCCAGATGAAGGGAGAAAACAGAGTCTGGGAGGAGACAGGCGGGAAAAGTAGAGGAAAAGAAGAGAAGCAAATACGTGGATGGTATTAAAAGCAAAGTTAAGAGAATTGTACAAGCTTAGAACTGAAAGGAACAACTTCCCAAGCTATCCTCCGAGGCATTCACTAACCCCCAACTTGAATAGCTCTGGTGAGAAACTGTTGCCTTTTGAGGCAAACAACCCAATAGTTGGATAATTCCAGTTTCCATAGGAGTCTTTTTTGTCATTGACCCATAATGTCCTTTCCTACACTCTCATCCATCTGGAGTGATATAACACAAATCTGCCTCCAGACACTTGAGAGTGTCTGCTATGTCTGTCTTTCCTCTAATGGTTTTCTGTTCCCTCTAAAGCAGAGGAGTCTCCTGGAAAAGGCTTCGAAGTTAGGCAGATGTGGATTTTCATCCAAGTTCCATTGGGCAACCATAGCAATTTACTTACCTTGGTTGAACCCTAGTTTGCATGTGAAAATTTTATGAGAAAACGTGTGCAAAGCAACTAGCCCAGCACCTGGCTAAGAGTGAGCATGTGACACTTCTCTTCCCCAGTTCCTTCAGAAACTCCAGACACTTTGCTATTTTAGATTCAAAGACGGTAGAGGTAGGAGTTGGGGGAACTAAGTCAGTCCTCCTCGTTTTATAGACAAAGAAACTAAGGACCAGAGCAGTTGACATGGCTTCATCTAGACCACGAGGCACTTTCCTTTAATTGTCTCCTCTGGCCCTCTTTGGCTCTGGACCCTCCTCAAAGTGTCGCACCAAGACACTGCTGCCACGCAAACTCCAAGAGGAGGGTCTGTCTTTTGTTGCCTGCTTCAGCCCCAGGGCCGATAGTAGTGCCTGACACGCGATACCTGCTCAATCAGTAATATAACTTTTCACCTTTTTCTTGAAGCCCCCAACCTGAACCTCACACCCATCACTCTCAGCAAAGAACTTCACCTCCTATTTCACCAAGAGCCCAGAGAACAGCAAGCAAGGGATTACCTCCTATTCCAATCCTCCTCTTAAAAGATGGATGCATGCCCTTCCCATAGTCTCTGAGATTCAAGCATCCCTCCTATTTAAATCCTGTCCTTCCATTTTAGTCCATTTTATCCCGTTGTCTCCAATATCCCCCAGGTCTTTGTTTCTCTCTTGTCTTTTTCTCTACCTTTCCTCTGGCTCCATTTCCGCTATCAATAGACATAACCTTATCTGAAAAAAAAAACAATGAATTTCCTGATCATGTCTTCCTATAGATGCTACCTTAATTCTTTACCAGTTTCTCACTCAAATATCTTTAAAGACTCACCATCTCCATATCCTTACTTCTCATTCATTCCTTAACCCACTCCCACCTGGCCTTCATCCGCACCCTCGACCTGCTTGCTCTCACCAAATTCCCTAAGTGATGCCCTAGAGGACAACTCCATTGAGAGCCATGCAGTGCTTGTTCTGCTGGATAGAGGAGTTTCATTGGATTCAGATTTATCTCTCCTTAAAATTCTCTTCTCCGCTGGCTTCTGGCTCTCCTTTCATCCCCTGCCCGGAGCCAGGCCTTTAAATGTTGGTTTTGGTTCTGGTTTGGCTCCCTTCCCTTCTCCCTGCTGATACTCTGAACAATTTTACTCACATCAGTATGCTGAGAACTCCCAAATTATGTCTGCAGCCCAGATTCATATACCAATTACCCCTTGGAGACCTACATTTCCTGCATTTCAAATTCATTCTTTCCAGAGCTTAACTCTGTATAAGGGAGGCAGTATAACATAGTGGTTAAGAGCCCAAGTTCTAGAATCAGAATGCTTGGTTTTAAGCCCTAGGTCTACCACTCTCCCACTGTGTGACTTTGGGAAAATTATTTTATCTTTCAGGGTCTCAATTTCCTTTCGTGGAAAGTAGGAATAATAATAGTAATGATCTCATAAAGTTGTTACAAGTTTAATGAAATAATACATGCAAATCACTTACAGTAGTGCTTGGCACATAACAAGTACTTGAAAGGGTTGGCCATTATTACATTATCATGATAATTATGATTTTTATTATCATTTCTGATGTGGTGTCCTCCTGGCCCAGCACTAGTGAGGTAGTGAAAGGCAGCATGTTGCCATGGATAGGGAACCCAGGTCTTTTTCAAAAGGCCAATTTCAATTCACCAGGTGTTGCTTGGGCTCCTACCAAGTATTACACATCATGCTAAAGGTTTTCCGAAGGTGCATCAGACATACGGTAATGGATGTAGACTTTATCTTGGATGCATTAGGAGCCATTGGAGGTTTGGTAGCAGATGAATGACAAGATCTGATTTATATTTTAGGAAAATAATCCTGGAAGCAGTGTGAGGAATGAATTGGAGCAAGGAGTGATGATAGGCAAGGTCACCAGCTAGGAAACAATGACTATTGTCAGGAAAAGGGGGAAGGTTTGGGGAAACATTTTAGGAAGTGGGAAATATAAGATTTGGGGCCAGGTCAGGTATGGGAGGTTACTGCATCATGAAGAACTAGGTTGATGCTACGAAGGGTGAACCATCTGGCTACTTAGAGAGAGCCCCAAAGGATAGCATTCCAGTGGTGAATCCACTGTAGTCTGACAGTCTATCTTGCAGACCGAAAAACATGTTTGTCCTCAGCTGAGAGGTGATCTATCACTCAGAGTGTGGATTTCACATTGGAAAAGCTCCCAAGTACTGCCATATAAAAACCATGCCGATGTATTCATTAATCATGAGAAGTTTAACTACCAAGTAGAATAGATAGTCTTGTGACCCATCAGCACATGCTTTCCTTATAGGGTAATCTCCTTGGGAAGCCAAATAGAAATTAGAAGTTGATGGTGATCCTACTTTCAGAGTAAAATGAACTGTATAATCTTAATGGCATCAAGCTGCCATTGCCTGAGACACCCTGGTCAGTAGAGGATACACCAGACTGCAGTGGAGGCACTATCAAATGTTGTCCGTTGGGATCCTGATTTGTATAGACAGCATGCAAACCAGTCTTCTAGGGGCACACTTCAGACAGAGCAGAGGAAAGTGATGAATCTTAGCTTTCTTACTTGCGACCCACACTCGCTGAGTGGTGGTCAAATCAGAAGCAGCCTCCAGGAGGACAAAGTGGGTCTTCTCTTTGGTCCACAGCTTCAAGTCAGCTGCTGGCTGACTACTTGCAACACCAGCTGTGAAGGTGCCCTTTGGGTTGAAGGTTGGCAGCTCTGGCAGCCGTAATATAAAGAGAAGAAGGGGGGGAAGCCTAGAAGGGAATGGCATTCCACAGTCTCTCTTTCTGCCCTAATAGAATTGCTTTTCCTTTCCAGTCCACAGCTAAGAATGTCCTTTATTGTCTTCTCTACTCAAGGAACAACCCTAATGAAGCTAACAGAAGACAGGTAAGGACGCTCCCCACCCCTGTCATTACAAAACCCATCTTTTCTTGAGTAGTCCTGGTATTTGTGCCCCACTGCCAGCTTTGACCTGGCAGTGATTTTAATTGAATTGTTCTCTCCTTTGACTTATGCCTTGAACTTTGCGCATTGACCCATCTGTTAATTTACTCTGCGATGACTTTGATAGAATTTCCTTATGTCAGTGAAATTTTATAAATGACTAAATCACATTAAGGTAAATCTTACCTTTGATTGGTGACTCAGTCTGCTAACTTGGAGCAAGGTGTTAGCAAACCAAATTCTTGAGGGAATATATTTTCTTTTATTTAAATTAGATTTATTTTGTGGATTAAGTGTTCAAAGATATAATAAGTGTGCTATGAGAGAAGGAAGAACTTGAAATATTATCATCCATAATGACTAAGGCAGTGAATAGAAAGGGAGGGTTTATGGCACTACAAAATTAAAAGAAATTGGAATCAGGTATGGGAAAATGTTGTTGACAGAAAAGGATTAGTTAGACCTAGCTTAACAAAAACATTAGTTGGGGTTTTACCACTTGCAGATGAAAATTAGCAGTAACAGAGACACGTCATTTATTCACGGCTAGGATGGTATATTGGAGATGACACTTTTCCTGCGTTAATGATGCTTTGTCCACTTTTTAAAAAGTGGTGTGGTCCACATGAGAGAGGCCCCAGGGCGGGGCACACGTGGGACTATGGGCCGACTTACGTGGACATGTTGGGGAAAGGAAGGGAAGAACGGGAAGTACAGGAAGGGCAGGAAGACTTTATTCTGTGCGATTCTTCTAGAAATGAGAATAGGGCTAACAGGATGGAGTAAGGTTTTCTGGAATTGGCACTCACACAGCACATCTGAGCTAGTCCCCATTTTTTCCATGTCTTTGTTCCCCATCTGTAACAAAAAAAAAGCACTCTGTACCGTATGGAAGTTTTCAAATCCTGTTACTCCTTCAGCAGTATCTATTATATGCATGCATGCCATTTGAGATGCACTGAAACCCCATTTAAAAACAAGGGTTTCTTATTCCTTATTAACAGAAGGAGAATCTGATGCCTTGTCATGTTCCTAAGGATACAAGCAGCATCTACTCTAGATGGAGGCTGCACATTCCACTCCACCTGCTGTTAAACAGAGACTCATGAAGCCCAAGAAGCCTGTGTGATTTCCCTTCAGTATTGGCCAAGGATTTTTTTTTAAGATCCTCTATACACACATTTATTTGCTACTGAAAGTTGAAACAGAACATCAAAAATTTTTTTTACAATTCAACACGCTGTTCTAACAGTGCTCTGGCCAAGCCACCCAACGTTTTCTTTACATTCCTTCCACACAAGTTAATTTGTTTCAAATTCTTGATATTGGGTTTCTTCTTACAGTGGACTTCAGGCTCATAAAACAGGCAATACCTGAGACCTATTAGTGCTTCTTTGTGTCAAATCAGAGTGGAACTAAAGTATATTCAAGTCATTCAAATGCAAGCTACATAGATTCCTTAGAAGTGACCTGCATTAAGGTAGAAAAGAGATGCAAGAAAAAAGACATCACAGAACTTATAATACAGGTTATCAAAATATTGGTACACGATCTTTTCCAAGCTGCTTCATAATGATCCTAAAATCACGAGCAAGAAAAATTTGTACAAGAAGAAGGTTTATGGCCCATCCAACTGTGTGTCATAATTTCTGTAATATTTATTGTCGTAATTTTCTCATAATTATCCTCATAAGGATCTCTATGAAACAGGCAATAACGACAGCTATATCTAAATCTTTTCACTCTTGATCGAGTCTCAACGTCCTACCGTGGTTCTCTTTGAGAGTCAGACAGAGGAAGTCTGGCTATTTTTAATATATTGAATCATCCTTTCCATCCTTTCTCTCTGAGCAGTTAACAATGTCCTCACCCCTCTCCTATAGGGTCAAGGATTTTAAGAAGCTCTGAGACAATGTCTCTAGCCTATGGACTCTATGCAAGACTCCTAATCTCTCTCAGTCTTTATATATGATAATATCTGAGTCATAATTTGCAGAGATGTCTTTTCTTCAGAGAAAACTCCTCTCTCACCCATTCTTCACATCCTCCTACAACCCAAGGCTGCGTAGTGCTGCTTCATGCTGAGTCCACTCGCTCTGCACCTAAGAGTTTGGCAAGAGACCAAGTTCACACATCCCCTGTGGATATGTTGTGTGCCACTGCTCACAGCCTCTGGGAAGTTGGAGGGGTGGAGGGAAGTCACAGATTTATAAACACTAGTAGAACATCGAGTCTTTCAGACCCATTTTGGTTATGCTAGCTCAAATTAGTCATCTGAATCCTACTTTGAATCTAGTTTTTTGCACCTTAACTTCACTACTCCTAGTATCCCATGCCAAGGAGAAGACTGGGATTGGAATCTCTACTTTGCTGGAAGCAGCATTTAATAATTAAGAGATGAATTTGCATCGAACAACAGCCAGAAATACCTTGCTAAAGGCTGAATGATTTGGGATGAGCAGATGCAAACTATGATATATAGAATGGATAAACAACAAGGTCCTACTGTATAGCACAGGGAACTATGTTCAATATACTGTGATAAACCATAATGGAAAAGAATATGAAAAGCATGTGTGTATATATATATGTGTATAAGGCTGAATGAGTTTCATGTGGTGACTGCTTGACCTAATCTGTGGGTCAGCTGGCAAAGCATGACCATGGTTCACTGACCCATCCCCAACCTTGTCAGCCTGTGGAAAGACGCAGGCAAGCCAGCTCTCTCTAAAATAGTTTCTCATGAGATTGGTGTAAAGAGTTAGACTTTCAGAACTTCCAACCTGCTACTGTTTCTGAAATATATGACTTTCAGTGGTTTAGTTGGTCACAGGAATTTTTATATTTTTTTCTGTGTCTCATTTGATCTTCATAATATCCCTATAAGACAGTAAAAGATGCATTATTTTACCTATGTAGTAACTGAGGAGACTTACAGAATTTTTAAACTCTCGTTCAAAAACAAGACATGAATTAGCAGAGACTCTCATTTCAACAAGAGCAAAAGGTTTGGGGTATATCAAAAGTACATTTGCATTCAGTTCTCGGGATCAGATCCACACAGGGGAAACCATGGGAAGGTTGAAGAAACAGAATGGAAAATAATTACGTTGTGTTGAGATGTAGTAGAGGAATTACAATTAGACTAATGATACCTCTGCCATTTGTGTCTTTTAAATGCTAAGCACTTTACATAGCATTTATTTATTCCCATATAACCATTATTACTTCAGTTTCTAATGTGGTCTTTGTGGTCATTTGATGTATTGTTTCATATGTAAAGTGTCATTTTTCATTAACTGCTGTCAAGATTTTTTTCTCTATCTTTAGTTCTCAGCAGTTTGATTATGATGTGTCTGACACACTTTTGTTTGTTTTTTTTTCTGTTTGTTTTTTGAGTTTCTCCTCTTTTGGCTCTGCTGAGCTTCTTGAATCTAGAAATTTATGTCTTTCACCAAATTGTGTGGATCTGTGGCCATTACTTTTCAAATAATTTTTTCTGCACTGATCATTTTCCCTTCTCCTTCTGAGACCCCAGTGACACACATGTTAGACCTTTTGATGTTATTCCACATGTCCCTGAAGTTCTGTTCAATTTTTCTTTTGCAGTTTTCTTTCTGTTCTTTATACCAGATCGTTTCTATTGTTCTGTCTTCATGTTAACTGACTCTTTTCCTCTGTCATCTCCGTTCTGCTGTTTAGCTCATCTACTGAATTTCTTATTATAGATATTGTGTTTTTCAGTCCTAAAATATCTACTTGGTTCTTTTTAAAATTATTATTTCTCTGCCAAGAACGTCTATCCTTCCATTTAATTCAAGTGTGTTACCTTTACCTCATAGATTATAGTTATTATAACTCCTATTATATAATAACTTCAGTTATTATAACTGATAATTCCAATAGTTCAGGATTGGCATCTTAATTGTCTGCTCTCCTGAGAATGGGTCACATTTTCTAGGTGATTTGTATGTCAAGCAAATTTAGATCATATTCTACAAGTTTTTAATATCATGTTGTTGAGAGTCTGAGTCGTATTCAAATCCTATAGAGAATGTTGGTCTGTTTGTTTGTTTGCTTTAGTAGGCAATCACCCTGGCTAGGTTCAGATCACAGGTTCTATCTTGTCTTCTGTGGTTTTGATTTTGGTTCAGTTTTCAAAGTCTTTGCTAAGCTGCTTTGGGTGTCTCCTGCACGTATGCAGTTCAGAGATGAGCCTGGGAGTTCTACAGCTTCATACACAGAAGTAGAGGGATCCCCTTCACCAGCTCTCTCCTCTCCAGGGTTCCCCACACACGGATTTTCTCAGAGGCCCCTGCCCTCCAAGTCTTCTAGCAAGAAAAATGGGGTTTCTCTTGGAGTTTTTGTCACCACATTGCTGCATGCAGTTCTGTACTGAGGCCACCCCTGGGGCAAAGCCAGGAGTCATAAGAGACAAATAGAAATGGGATTTCCTCCACATTCTTTGAACCACAGGGGCCGCTTTTCCCAAGGGCCAGAAATATGGTGGCTTTCTTAGCTTTTAGGCGACATCCCAGGCTACTGCCATGTGACTGAGGCCCACCCTCAGATTAAAGCCACGAGGGAAATGAAGAAAAAAAAATTGGAATTCATCCTTGTATGGGTTATTTCTCCAGGTTTTAACTCTCCAATCCACTTGCATTTTTTACTTTTCAGAGTTTTATTGTGTTTGCTTTTTTCATTTTGTCCAGACTTTTTATTATAATCCACAGAAGAGGTAGCCTATAGCAAGCCTGCTGTTACTTCAGTTCTACAGATAAGGACACTGAGATTCAGAGAGCTTAGATAACTTGCTAAGATCAAAGAATAAAAATGGCAGAACTGGTATTCTGATTATGGATTCTGTTCAGTCCAACTCATGGGCTTTGCACCATATTATGTTGCTCTTTCAAGATTTCTTAACTTCATCAGTTTGCAAAATGATTGAAAAATTGTAACAAGTTTTTTAGGTTTCCTCATTAGCATAATAAAGGATTAATGTTAATTTAAGTACTAATAGAATAAATTATTTTAGTGTTAACTACTGCACATGATTCCCTAAAAACCCCTTGGTTAATCTTTTTCCTGATCTTAATCAAAATACTTCAGATGTTTCATCATTTGGAAATGAGATCATGTCGAGGAAGTCCAACTCTTCCTTTAAAAGAAAACAGGAATAGATATTCAGTTTAATCAAATGCATTTTTGGTATCTATTGAAGTCATATTTTTCCTTTGACCTACTAATACAGAGAAATGCATTACAAAAGATATTTTAAAATTGGGCCATATGCGTATCTGGTTACACTTGGTTGTGATATATTATCATTTTGATATAGAACTGAATTCTGTTTTCTGTATTTTATTCAGAAATTTAACATCAGTATTCATAATTGTGATCGGGCTGCTATTGTCCTTTTCATGACTACCTTTACTTACAGTATTTTTTATAATTTTTTTCTTACATTTAGTTTATTACTTCTAGAATTAATCCGATATAAGGTATGAAGCCAAGATCCATGTTTTTTCTCCAAGTGTTTAGGCAGTTTTTCCAACACCATTTACTGGATAATCCTTTACTACCAATTTGAAAAGTTAAACTTTTTCATAGACTTGTGTCCATTGCTGGGTTTTCTATTCTGATGCACTGCATTTCTGTCTGTTCTTATGCTACTACCACATTATTTTCATTAGTTTTAACATCTGGAAGACAAGCCCTTCCTCACTTCTAATCCTGCGTGAAAATCTCCTAGTCTTTAGTGGGTATTTTTCCCTATCACATGCATTTTAAGTAATTTTTTTAATGTTCCAAAATATTCCTGGGGTTTTCACTTGAACTGTATGAAAAGTACAGAATAA